GTCTTGCTTTTGCCTCCCCCCTGGCATTCTGTGAGGGCTTGTGTCCCCTGGCGGGCACCTCTTTGTGGAGAAAGGAGGGCAGCACGGGGAAGAGCTGGGCTTGGCCTTGCGCTGAGATCGGCCTTGCTCTGGGCTTATTGTCCCGCGGGTTCTGGTAGCTCTTCGGTGTGTGCTTGCGTGCCTGCCTGCTTTTTGACATACTCGGGCTCCCTGAGCTTTTACGGATCAAAATGAGCACTTTCCATCGCCCGCAGGGTTGTTTCTTTATAGTGGCTCAGGAAACACATGTAATCGTCATGTTACCAGCTTTTAAGCCTGTAACTGGGTTGAAAGCTACCCTGTCGTAACTGTTAAAAGGTAGGTGATGTCTTACAGGCACTTACTCTGAGTTGGTGACAGGATCTGATCAGGATAGTGTTATTTAGATTTCTTTTTAAAGAACATCTGTTAATGGTAGCACACATGTGCTAATCACAAAGCTAGTTATTGGGGAGTCAATAACACAGGATAACATCAGATTTTAAAAGTTATGGTAATTTAACTGTAATGATACTGATGCTTAGTACTTGGCTGGAGTGTTTTGGCTTGGAGAGCCAGACTGGTTTACAAGGGTGATTCTTTCATTAGCAGGCATCTAAAATTGCTAGTCCACTGAGTCTGGTTCTTGCATTGTATAGAAACTCTGTTTTACCAATTTTCCCTATAGTTTTTAGTCAAAGTAGAGAATCGTGTACATGTATTTTCTTCGGTGTATCTATTACCTTCTTCCTAGTATCTTGAGTCACATGTAGGGATGTGTGTAGTGGGAAACATAGCAGGGCATGTAAGATGGTTGACAAAATGTGAGTCTACATACAGAACTGCTATCTAGTCTGTTCCTGTGTTGTCTAAGAAAATACTTGTGCTGAACGTCATGGTTATATGAATATTCTTCTTTAAGGACTGTGCTGGCAATTGCTGGAGAAGACTTTTCTATCGTTGCCTCTGACACTCGACTGAGTGAAGGTTATGCAATCCACTGCCGGGACAGTCCAAAATGCTACAAACTGTAAGTCCAGTTCTTGTAAGAGTTTATACAGATGAAAGATCTTTTGTACTGATGAGCATGTCACCTGCCTGGAATGACCTACCACTTTCTTTAAGCACAATTCTCAGAGAAAGAAAAAGAAAAGTGTAGTAACAGAATTGCTTTTGGAGACATGGTGACTGTTGCTGTAATGCAAGATGCGATGTGATGTTGTAAACACAGCCACGTTTCTTGTTGCGTGCTCTTGAAGTTAGCTGATAACAGGGCGTTTTTAGCATGATACAAGGCTTAATGTAAGCTAGGTGTTTTTTTGGCTGGATAATCAGAAGAACTTTTGTCTTAACTGTAGCAGAACTTGATCTGTGGTAGCTCGTTCTGCTTTGTCAGGACACCTGGTGCTGGTACCCAAGTGTGCCCACTGCTGCCAGTTTTACTGTGTCTCTCTAGTCAACCATCTGGCACTTTGAAGAGGTGTTTGTTCTAGGAGAGGTAAACTTGTCAGTAGTTCCATTATTGAACTTTCTGTCCTCATTGTATGCTTACCTTGACTCACCTAGATAGCATCCCCTTGGTTTAAAATTACATCTTGTTTACATTCTTCTGACTGTAGCAGGTGCTTACCGAGCACGCTAGATAAATATTTTTTTTTTATTATCATTATTGATGACACAAGATCATATGAACTTGTTTCTCCTGGTTAACTCCGTACTATATTTTGACTCTCTGATACTGTCCAAATGGAAATAAGTGTGGCACAATCGGCATGCTGCACATGATGACTTTGTGTCAGTCTAGTGACAGGCTGAGAGAAGATTTCAATTTAAATTGTTTTCTGCATGAATGCTTTGTTTGTGTTAGTCTATAAGTATGTGTGGATGTTTGTGGACTCTTACTAGTTAACTGGAATTTAAATTTCAAATGTGCATTTTGAAACTGAGCAAAGAGCTGACCTTCTATAGAGAATCTGCAGCCAGATAACTTCTGTTGTGCTGACGCAGAAAGTGACCTACAGCTTGAATGTGACATAACCATCGTGCAGTCTTAATGCAGTCCTCTGCCCGGATGGAGTACAACTGGGCTGAGTGATAGGATGTAGCAGGCCCCCCATCTCAGAACAGATCCTCTACCAGAACTGAATGCTAATAGCTGAACTTAGGGGAGCATGAAGAAATTAAGAGTTTCTGTTTGTCAGTCTTGCTGTGGAAGTCAGTGGATTGAAGAAAAACATCCACATGGTCCTGTCCTTAAAGAGCCCTGTCCAATGTGTAGGTTGCAGTTACCTTTTGCACACAAAGTGTCTGTTACTGTCTTTTAGACAATGGTTTCTGACAACATTAGAGAAACTGAAAATACATGCAGTGTTTTCATAAGAACCTACTGTAGAAGAAAGTGGTATAGTTCATATTAAATCTCAAATCACAACAAAATTTTATATTTTACAGAACCGAACAGACGGTCATTGGATGCAGTGGTTTCCATGGTGACTGCCTTACCCTTACTAAAATTATTGAAGCAAGATTAAAGGTAGCTAACTATCTCATTGTATTTAGAAACTTGTGTTCTTAGTATCGTGTTTGAGACCACTAATACCATATGTTTTAAATACAGTTTTTGCTGCTTTTCTTCAAGGGTTTGTATCATAACTGTATTGCTAGTGAAAGATCAGGCAGGGGAAATTTATGCTGTGTTCTTACTAAGTATAATATCACAAATTTAAAGAACAGAAGAGCTTCAGAGGGTAATGCTAATGAGGCAACATCTACTTTGCAAAACTTTGGAGCAGTGTTAATTTTTGGCTCGTAAGAGGGCTTTCGTATAAGCTCAGCGTGTTTTCAGTAATAATACTAGTTAATAATCTTGCATAGCATCGGATTCTTTTGTAGTGAGGTTACAGAAAATGTAATTCTGATGGAGTGTAAACTTTAGTGTTTGACTTTCTTCTTGGGCATGTTGTCCCACTTGCAGATGTACAAGCATTCCAATAACAAGACCATGACTACTGGGGCTATTGCAGCAATGCTGTCTACAATTCTGTATTCTCGACGTTTCTTTCCTTACTACGTTTACAACATAATTGGTGGACTCGATGAAGAAGGTAAGACTTTAAACAAAAAAAGAAGAGAGGCTGAATTTCTGTAGGTGAACAGCTATCCTTTTATATCTCAGGTAAACCAATGAGATAACGGAGTTTGTGTTCCTATTCCTAACGCTTGCCTTTAGGTATTATGGTACGTACACAGGTCAAATGCATATTATGCATATTATACGCGTGACTTATTTCCTAGTTACTACTACTAATCTGATCTTCCATTTCTGAAGGTCTGAATGTCTAAAAACTATGGTATAATTTGATTACAAGTGAAGTCTGCTAATGTTGATTACCTCTCATACTTTACTCTAGACTGGAATACTTCTTTGCTGGAATTCCTAATTGTGTCTTTAAAAGAGATGTTAGTAGCTGAATTGTATGTATTTTACTCAGGCCTGTCAGTATGGTAGAGGTTAGTAAATATGAAGGTTTACTCCAGAGACAAGTTTCTACAAAGAGATTCTAAAATGTTAACTAATCTCTAACGGAAAATATGACTTCTACATGGAAGCTGTAGTTTAATATACTTCCAGGGCTTACTGGGCTCTTGTCCAGTGATTTGGTTGGGTTGCTAATATACTGTGTTCTCTGGCTTTAGCAGGAGCTGAGAGGTGGTCTTGTTCAGATAGTTTAAACCATTCCCCACAGTTTGTTGTTACCATTAGGTTCTATTGCTTTCTCGGTCTTGATAAGACATATCAACAGTATGTGGAGTCTGGAAGGGGATTAGTCTGCCCTGCGTAGTGGTAAATCTCAGATTATGAGGGTGCTCTAGCAATTGATGAGTATAAAAGTGCAGGCCTGCATGCATGGGCTTAATTTGGGTACAGCAAGATTGATTCGTTCTGATGTGATGTTGCTTTCTGGGTCTCTGTTAGCTTCCTCAGGGCAGCTCAGCTACCTGTGCTATGCTGCCAAATGCACTGGCCAGTTTATTAAACCAGGTCCAGCCTGTCTGAACAGAAAGGATGAACTTGGCCAGGTGCTGCATTTTCTCCAGTGTGTCCTCATCAGATGCTTGAGAGGTACAGCGTGTTTTCAGCTCTGATGTCGGCGCAAGCTTTGCATCACCTGGCCTGACTCCAGAGGGAAGCACATAAGAGACCAGAGCATTATCCCTGGTTTGGGGAATGTGATGCAGAGGCATCTGAGCACGGGTCTCTGGAGGCAGTTGGAAAGCTATATTGTTCAAGAACGATGGCTAAATCGCCTCATTGTGCCAGCTTTAGAACCAGCAGCATAGTGCTCCAGCATATTCTCCTTATTCTGCATCAGCACTTTTTCTGTGGTAAGTGCTGTAGAAAATGTCTCTTAGTGCATGGTTATAGCTGAAATATTGAAAGTAACCTTGCGTATAGTACCAGGCCACAGGCATAGTAAGCCTACTGTACAAAGCTTTGTCTGAACCTACTGCAGTATTATTTGGTAAAGGTTTGCTGGGTTTTGTGGTGCTCCAGAGACTGCGCATGGAGCGAGCTAATTTCTGATGTAAATCCTTATCTGCATTGAGAACTTTTCTGGATTGTGATTACATATTACTTTTTTTTTGTCAGGGAAGGGAGCAGTATATAGCTTTGATCCAGTTGGCTCATACCAGAGAGATTCTTTCAAAGCAGGTGGATCAGCGAGTGCCATGCTGCAGCCCTTGCTTGATAACCAGGTAAAATAGTTATCTTTTTTGGTGGTTGGTTGTTTTGTTGAGTTTTTTTGTTGTTTTATTTTTGGTGGTTTTAGGGGTCTTTTTGTTAGATGATATCAGTAAACATTTGTGACATTCAAATGAATGTAGCTTTACTTTTGGAAAATACTACTTTTGAGATAAGTTTTAAACATACTACAGGTAGGATTGTTAATACATTTAGAAATTTGCTCTATGTTCTCAGGAGAAATCAAAGTTTTGCTTGAAAATCTGTTCAGTTTTTTAGTACGCTAGAAACAGCAGACTGCCTGTTTAAAGTAGAGGTAAATGTTGCAATTGGGGAATTACATTTCCCATAGAAGCTGTTTGATGGGTTTTTTTTGTTCCCAAACTGATAACATAAATACGCCTGTTAGCATGAAAGAATAAATTAAGAAGGTTGAATTAGTAGGCATATATAATACCATTTATCTCTTAACATACACAGAGATAGAATGAGTAGGTGTTTGTAATACATTTTATCGCTTAACATACACATCTAAAAGTCGTAAGTTTTGTACAACTCGAACACCATTTTCTAAGAATGTTTCTACGTAAAACTGCTGGGAACTTACTCAATTAAATCTGTCCAGAAATACTTGAAGAATATTTTCCTATTGAATTGAAGCAGTTATTTATTGAATGAGAGAAACACCAAAGCATGTTTTACTCATTTTAATTCTTTGACATTGATATTAGTATTGTTTAGTCAGTTGAGCCTGATGTCAACACAACTTCTATGCTTAAAAAAGCAATAAGCACTCTTAGTCCTTAACAGCTGGGGAAGGAATAGAATCTTGCCCTTTTTTTCCTTTTTTTTTTTTTTTTGTTTTCAACAACTCCAGGGTCTCAGCTTTGACTTAGTTTTGAACTTTATTAACGGAAGAAAATAAAATACCTTCTGCAGAAACAAAGTTGACTTAAGTAGCTTTTTTTCACTTATGAGTTTGAGGCAAATTAAGTGATTCTTCCTATCCTTTTTCAGTTCTGATGCTTAAGTGGACATTTAAGTTTATCAGCTAAGATACACTATTTAATAGGACTGGTTACGCTCTGATATAGACTATCATTTCTGAACTCTAGGTACATTGAGGAGTATCTGCTTGTAGGAAATGTTCCTAACCTCAAAATGACTAGAGAAAAGGCTTGTGCGCAGTTTTGATATTGCTAACCCTGTGAGAAGTTTCTGAAGAATTAGATCAGTTCAGAGCTGAATGGGTGGGAGGAACTGTGCCTGCATTAACTGGATCTGCTGCCAGTTACATATGTAAGAGGATGAGCATTGGCAAAGTATCATGCAGCTGTAAACAGTGTGCAAACTTTTGCCAGCTTTGTGTTTCTAAAACAGACCAACCTTTTCTTCTTTTTCAGTTGTCTAAATCAGCTTTCATGCTAGATGGATCATACTTTAAAATGCATTCTCATCTTTTCTTAGATTGGCTTCAAGAACATGCAGAATGTGGAACACGTACCTCTGACCCTGGAAAAGGCTTTGCAGCTGGTTAAAGATGTCTTTATTTCTGCTGCTGAGAGAGACGTGTACACTGGGGATGCACTGAAGATTTGCATTGTCACAAAAGATGGAATTAAAGAGGAAACTGTCCAATTACGAAAAGACTAATTCAGTTGTTATGAGCATGTAATCTTTGATGTACAATTTACCTGTATTATGAAGACACTTGTCTTATTAAATTTTTTTCAAGTTCAACTACTGTAATGCTGAATATTTCTGTCGTTGTTAGAAGTGATAGTGTTTTTTGGAAACCAAAGCAGTTTGTAGTAAGGAAGCAGTTAAGAGTTACAAGTCAGTTTTGTTCATCTCAATCTATTGATCGGTCTAATTCCAAAGTCAGTTTAATCCCCTTCTCACGATCCCTTATGCTACAATATGGAGGAGCCTATATTTACTAAAATTTAGGTTCACAGACTTTTCTGATAATGCTTTCAGTTCAGCCTTGGTTTAGTGAGAAAAGCCTTTGTTCTGTTTGTGCTGTCTTCTCTGCACTTCATAACTTGCTCTTCCTATCCTTTCTCTCTCTGACATGCTATCTTGGCATTTGACCTCTCTGTACTTATTTACAGAGACTATGAATATGAGTCACCTGAAACCAATTTCAGTGTGCAAGAGGGAAGAATGTTACATGGAGTCTGCCAGAGTTTAGTCCTGGACCCTGCAACTGGGCTCACCTCTGTGTGTTTGTATTCAGTTAATGCCCAGAATCTGAAGCAGCATCCTTTTTTGGTTACTGATGGAAAATAACTTAGTATGGGGATTCCTGAATGCCTGTTAATGTCTGGGGGCTTTGTTTGCCCTACTACTGCTCATGGCTCTTGGGAAATTACATCAAGTGTAGACTGTTTGTCTGATGTGCTCCTGGAAATTGGCTGGAGTACTATGACCTTTAATAAAGCAGAGCTGCATCATCAAGGGCAAAACAATCTTTTCTTGCCCAGGAATTATCTCGTTGCTTGAGATGGCATACTTGTTTTTTAAAAGAACAACTTTGCTGGTGTGTTTGACCATACAGTAACCTTGTCTGCTGTTTGGAGCTGGCCGACTGCCTTCTGTGCAGCATTTCAGGTGCTGTGCATTGTTCTTAGCTCTGGCTAGTCGTCGCCAGCAGTGATAGACTCAGCTTTCTAGACAGTGTAAATAGTGGGTAGCATTTTGAACCTCAACAAAGAGCTAGAGCATTTAAACTGACAAGCTGTGTTTAAGAAGTCCAGTGAGTGTGAACTTGAACAGCAGTCATTTCCCAAAGTGTTCATGAAAGCGCTTCACCGCTGGGTGCCAGTGTTGGGCAGAGGAAGGAAGGAACAGCTCATCGCTGGTAGCTGGGCAGCAAGGAAGGCACACGGCATCCCAGGCTGAGTAACACGGGCTGAAGTCACTTGGTCACACAAATCAGAACTTCCAGACACACTCAGGTAGCTTAATGAGCTGTTTGACATTTGCTAGAGACATCTTGGGTGGACAAGGTTAGTTGTAGGAGTGACTATGGCTATGTGCTCGTCTGTGCTGAGCAAAGTGAACACGGTGCAATAATTTAAGAACAGAAAGCTTGTGTCCATGTAAAGTACAAATCAGCAAATTAAATACATGCTCTGTTACTTCAACAGAATTCAATTAAAGCACTTTATGCTCGGGTATCTTTGATACCAGATTTATGTGGAATTGCTCAAGTATTTTGTAATAGGTTGTTGCAGCTTTATGCAGAGTTGGTGAACTCAAACTGAATAGTATTTAAGTTGCAGTGAAAAGCAGCTGACAGTAACAGGTTGACATATCTGCCTTTGGGACAGGTCTGTTTGCAATGTGCAAGATCTAAACAGTGAAGGGAAGAGGAACTATCTAATCTGTACCTGAATTAATGTAATTCTTACAGGATGCCAAATGTGTAGGAGAGTTGGACTGGTTTGGTTTTTTTTTTAATTTTAATGAGTTTGCATGCTTTTATACTTAAGGATAAAGTTTGCATCCAAAATAAATGCATGTCCAACAGATTTAAGAACTTAGTTTAGTCTGAGGTATCTAGACCTGTCTCTCAGTTATTCTGGGACAAATACGAGGTGATTAGAGTGTTCAGGTCTCATTTGCAATCGTGGAAGAGATGCAGTAGCAGATGCTGGGGATGCAAGTTTTCCTGCCACTGTTTGTCAGTGCTGTCCTCTCGGAGCACCTGTGCAGATGAGATGGCCGTTTTGTATCCTTTTCAGTTCTCCATTTTTCTGCAGGGTACACCTGGCTGAAAAACCAGCAG